ATATAAATAATATTATAAGTAATAATAATACAACCTCAGTTACGTTATACAAGTGCGAGAATAAGGCGTCAACTTGCGGAAGATGTCAATTAATTGGTCCCAACTTCAACTGCAATTGGTGCTATAAAGGTGCCTTAGCTCATAATAACAAAATCATGCAAATATTATCTTTTTTTATTATTATTGTTGTTGTTTATTATTTATTATTATTGCTTTTTTCTGCAGAAAAGCAAGGTCAGAGGGCGAATTTTTGCAGTTTCAAAGATAAATGCGAGTCGGGGTTTGCTCCTAATGAGATTTGTCAGAATCCACAAATTGCCTTTGTGAGTTATTTTGTGATTGGCTGATTAATTCGGTTGGCTGATTGGTTGGTTGGTTGTTCAATCAATCAATCAACCACCCAACTAACCAATCAGATTAATCCTCTCGGAGGGCCATTAGTTGGCGGCACAACGCTGACGATCAATGGATCCAATCTTGGATTTTCAGAGCAGGAGGCTAAAATTCTCATCAACAATATCAATTGCCCTATAACGGGTGGATATCTACCCACCGAACTGTTAGTAGGGAGTTGGTTGATTGATTGGTTGGTTGGTTGATTGGTTGGTTGGCTGGTTGGTTGGTTGTTGGTTGGATTGGCATATATTTGGTTGATTCAATTCCTTCCTCATTCAATTAGTTCATTGGTTTATTCCTCTAAAGATTCCCCTGTCGGTTTGTTATTTCATCTTCACTCACTCATTCACTCATTTATTTATTCATCCATTCATTCATTCTTTCATCATCATCATATTTCAGGATTAAGTGCACGACTCCGAAATCCACTATAGAGGCCAAGGTCGATGTGACTGTCATCGTCAGTGGCAAGTACACCGCTAAATCACCCCAACAGTTCTACTATAAAGTTTGTTCACTCGTTCAATCACTCTTCATTCATTCGTCCGTCAACCCATTCATTCATTCATTTCGTCATTCATTCATTCATCCATACATCTATCAAACGATTCATTTATTTGCTCAACCACTCATCTATCACTTATCTGTCAATCTATTTATTCACTCATTCGTCAGTCCATTCATCCTCTATCCATTCATTCATCCTTTATCCATTCATTCATCCTCTATCCATTCATTCATCCATTTACTCCTCCATTTATCCATCCATCCACTTATCAGAACTTCAAAGTGGCGGACATATCGCCGAAAGTTGGAATGAAGTCAGGCGGGACGAATGTGACGATAAGAGGAACCGATCTGGACTTCGGCAGCATGTGTGAAGTCAAGTTTGATAGCAAGCTGGCTCCTGTCATTTACTTGTTAGTTTTCAAGCGTTCACTCCTTTGTTCATTCATCGCTCATTCACCCATTCATTCACCCATTCATTCACCCATTCATTCACCCATTCATTCACTCGTTCATTTACACACTCATTCACTGACTCATTTACTCACTAATTCATTCACTGACTAATTCATTCGCTCACTCACTCATTCATTCATTCGTTCATTAACCCATGCTTCCAAACAGTCGCAACAGCACCCACATAGGCCTGAGGACGCCGCAGCAGACGACGGCCATCACCGCTAAGGTCAAGGTCAACATTGATTCGCACGTTGATGTTCAGCAGTTGGTGTTCCAGTACAAGAAGGACCCCGTCATAAAGAGTCTCTCTCCTACCACCTCACTAATAAGGTCGCCTTCTATGCATATTTTTGTATTTGTCTGTTTGTTTGTTGTCGTTCGTTTGTTTGTTTGTTGTCGTTCGTTTGTTTGTTTGTTGTCGTTTGTTTGTTTGCCGTTTTTTTCACTCATCCATTCATTCATTTATTCATTCTCTCATTTATACATTCGTTCGTTCATACATTTTCCCATTCGTTCATTTCTTACCAAACTCACTCGCTCACTCGTTCATTCTTATCGAGCCATCAGCCAACCACCAACCTGATAATAATGAATTAATGACCAACCTTTCAGTGGTGGCAGGCAGATAACTGTTGACGGCGAAACATTCGACCTCCTCTCCAAGGCCTCTATCATTGTTCTCGCTAATGAAAAGAATTTTTCTGAGGTTCGAACTTTCACCATCATCATCATCATTCTTGTCATCATCGTCGTCGTCATCTTTTTATCACTACCATATGACCGGCAACGATCAGTCAATCACTTATCTGAAAAATCATTTTTCAATCAATCAATCAAACAATCATTCAATTAATCGACTAATTAATTGATCAACCAACCTACCAGTCAATCAATCATTCATTCAATCAATCAATCGGTATTGCACATAATCAATCAACCAATCAAACAATTCAACTAACCAATCAGCCATGCGTATTGAAATCAGCTGACACGATGTTCTGCTACTCGCCGAACATCACTGGCATCTTATTTGAAGAGGATACGACAAGTGGGACGTTCAAAGTTGGCTTCAAACTCGATGAAACTATGTTTGTTGTTGTTTTCGCGTTTACTGTTTTTACTTGTTATTATTGCTGTTATTGTTATTATGACGTCATCGTATCGTCACCGGTAGACGGTATGATCCAAATCGATGAAGCTTTTTTTTATTCTTCGAGAAATCAAACTCTTACCGGTGCAAAACGTGTTAGGATATGCTAAATGAAAAAATTATAAACTGTTTTTTTTGTCTTTGTTTTTTTTATATTTATTGTTATTACGTCATCGTCGTCATCATCTCATCACGTGATGACAGAATGAACAACACAGACCACACGCTGAGATACTATTACCATCCGCTGTTTCAAAATTTTGGGAACATCGTCATGAAGAATGCTTATGACGAAATTGAAATTACGGTTATTTGTTGTTCAGGATTTTTGTTATCGATGTTGCGCTTATCTAGGCCTATGTTGTTTATGTTGTTCGTGTCTATGTTTTTGTTTGTGTTTGTATCTATGTCGTTTTTGCATATATTTAAATTGTTGTTGTTTATGTTCTTTTTATCCGTGTTGTTGTCTGTGTTTATGCTGTTGTTTATATCGTCTATTAGGTCCTGAATAATCCGGAATCTTTGGTTGACCTTGACAATGCGCTGAAGGTCAAAGTCGATGGGGCATTTTGTGGTCATTCAAAATATGATGACGAGAAAGTTCGAAAGTGTTTTTTTATTTATTATAAAATTTAATTAATCAATTATCAATTAATAATTAATCAAATAATTGACTTATTAATTAATTAATTAATCAATTATTTAGTTAATTTTGAGGCACAAAACTTATAATTGGCTCATTGACTTTTAATTTAATTAAGTTATTACCCACTTGGAAGGTTAAGTTCGTGCCGGCTTATTGCAAGAAGAATGGTGACAATCATGTTTCCGATAGAGATGTTCCTGTCGAGGTTGGTCATTCATTCATTCATTCATTCATTCATTCATTCATTCGTTCATTCGTTCATTCATTCATTCATTCATTCGTTCATTCATTCATTCGTTCGTTCGTTTATTCATTCATCCATTTATTTACTCATTTGATTGTTTTTTTATTCGTTCATTCATTAGTTGAATTAATCATTCGTTCGTTCGTTCATTCATTCAATCAATCAATTAATCAATCAATCAATCAATCAATCAATCAATCAATTGTTCATTTAATCATTCATTCATTCACTAATTATTACTCACCCACTTAACTCAACATAACTTACAAAAACCAACTAATCAGGTGACGATAAACAAATTCTCTCAATTCGTCGGCACCCTCAGATATCCGAAATCCATCAAAGCGGCATTAGTCCTCGGTCTACTTTTCGGTCTGGTACTTCCCCTAATTATAGGCTGTACCATTCTCGGTTATTACCTCTTTAAGAGGAACAGGAAGAAGTGGCTAGCCAAGAGGCAGCACGACCACCCCCCTGTTTTGGACGCAATCAATAGAGTCAATGCCCCTGGAGATGGGGTACGTTATTCTGTGTGTCTGTGAGTGTTTCTGTGTGTGCATGCACGTGTGTGTGTGCGCGCGTACGTGTGTATGTGTGTACATGTGCGTTCGTGTGCGTGTGTGTGTACATGTGCGTCCGTGTGTGTGTACGTGTGTGTTCGTGTGTGTGCGCGTTCACCGAGAGGTTCATCTTGGGAATGAAGATCTCCTTGATAATTCTGTAGAGGAACATATACAACCAGGAGCCGGGCATGGCCGAGATGGTGCCACTCAACACATCGCAAGAGTACCTCAATCCCGCTCAGTTCCTAAGTTCGTTTCTCTCTCTACCCATGCTTTTATAACTTCGTTAATACAAGAGATTGTTAACCCCACTAATTGACCTAATTAATGACGTCATCCTCACGACCTTATTAACTCTAATCGACTTGAATAATTAGTCAGTCAATCAGTCAGTCAATTAGTCAGCAAATTAGTCAGTTAATTAATCAGTCATGACGTCATTTACTATGAACGCAGAT